TGGTTTCACCCTCTCTAGAGCAGACCTGCTCACATGGCAGTCCATGGTATATTTAAAACTCTTCTGCAACACCACAACTAAAGGCATCAGTTGTGAAGCTTTGATGCATACCAAGTAGTTGTGAAGACTGTGGCCTGGATCAGACACCTCTTAGTCTCTAGACTGACATCCTTGCTCTTAAGCACTCTGGAGAGATCCTTGACAGCAGATTTCCCTAAAGCATTTAGTCTTTTGATTTCCTTACTGCTGGTGCCAAGGGTGTTGATTGTGGAACCGAACAAGCTGAAATTGTTAACAATCTCATCTCTTCTCCATCTATCACAGTGCTACCAGTTGTCCTAATAGTGAGAATCTCTTGTTTTCTTGATGTTGAGCTTCAATCCATATTGCAAATTACAGTCTTTGACTCTCTGCAGCAGATGCTTCAGGCCCTCATTTTCAGCAGGTAAGGTGATGTCATCAGCATAATGCAGGTTCTTAATGAGTCTTCCTCCAATCTTCATGTCACATTTCTTCCTCATAAAGTCTAGCCTCTAGAATGATCCATTCTGCATACAGATTGAAAAGGTATGGAGACAGGACACATCCCTGAGACATTCTTCTGATTTTGAACGTGTAGTGTTTTCCTTGCTCTGTTCTGATGACTGCCTCCTGGTCCAAGTACAGGTTTCGCATGAGTCCAGTCAGGTGTTCTGGGATTCCCATTCTCCTTAAAGTTAACTACAGTTTGTTATGATCCGCACAGTCAAATGCCTTTGAAACACAGACATTCCTCTGGTATTCTCTGCTTTCAGCCAAGATCAATCTGACATTATCATTGATGTGCCCCTAGGGTAGTGTTATGGCCTCTTCTAGATCTGTCATTTGTCTAGAGTTGTGTTTTTGAAACACAGTCTATGACATTTTAGCAGATGACTTAAACAGAAAATGTTTGTCAAGTTGTCAGCCATTGCTAACTTCTCATGAGTTCATTTTCCTCCTGAGTTCATTGACCACCTTATCCTCTAGTGAGTTCTGTCTTCATCATGTATGGACACTTTTTCCTACAAGAACCTCTCTGTGGTTTTCGCTTGGAAACATTCTTGCGTGCAAGTGCCTTGCTGACTATTAAATTGTCCCTAAAAAGTTCACCCTTTTGCCCTTATCTTTCTGATTATATTTTTACAGGATCACTTTCCTGGGGGTTTTCATAACATTGTCATTTGGAATTAGGCACATGCTAAAGGAAGTGTTGATATAAGTAGACTCTATCTTGCTCACAAGTGTTATCTTCGTGTACATGTTTTTTCATTGAGCTGCTGAAAAACTGAGAAGCTATAACATTGCTTCCAAAAAGATGTGAAAATTACTTTTGTGGCCAAGTTTCTTCTCTAGTCTTTTTTTTTTTTTCGAAGGCACATGAGTAATTATTGTTTTATTCTGTCACACATAAAGTTGCCATCATGGCACCTAACAACTGCATTTGTTGAGAGTCTTCTGTGCCCAGTCTTAGATCCAGTGTGCTGAAGGGGAATAAAGACAGAGAAGACATTGATTGCCAGGCTTTATTTACGATGTGGCAGGAAATGATGATTTTCTGTTTCTGAATGACTGCAGAAGGTTTTCCTTTTGCCTGTCCCTTCCCCTCCCAGTCCGTCAACCTGGAACGTGAGAACTCACTCCTCCAGATTGAACCTGTATATTATTTTTCTTTGAAGGTTTCATAATCCTCTAAAAATGAATTTTTGCTCCACCCCATTCTCACAATGCTGGTTACAGAATCCTGATATCTATTTTCTTTTTTAAAAAAAGTGACTTTTTAAAAAAAATTTTATTATTAATTTCAGTAAACATTTACAGAGACTTTGGATTTCCATTCATTCATTGTTGCACTTCCCTCCCCTCCTATCCCTCCCCCCAGTACATGACCCTCTTGGAAAAGTAAAAGACAAATTCTTTTCATTGTTTTACAAACCCTCCCCCAGGTCCACTCCATCATGTAGCCTTCGCTCTAGACTCCTGTCTTGACAAAAATACCTAATCACATATCCCTTTTAAACAGTTTTCTCCCTCATCTGTTCTAATGCAATATACATTCTTTATCCCATCTTTCTCAGTCTCTCCCCAACCCCAAGGTCAGTCCCGTTTTACAACAGTGGCACCATGCAATATTTGTCCTTTTGTGACTGAGCTACTTCACTTAGCATAATGTCCTCAGGGGTCACCCATTTTTGGTAATACTGCGTGAGTTCCTTGTTTTTCAATGCAGCATAGTATTCTGTTTTATGAATATACCACATCTTCTCTATCTATTCGTTTGTTGATGGGCACTTAGGTTGTTTCCAACTCCTTGCTATTGTGAACAAAGCTGCAATAAAACATGGGTGTGCATATATCTGCTTGGATGTCAGTTATGGTCTCTTCAGGGTATATTCCCAGTAGTGGAATTGCTGGGTCAAATGGTGTCTCTATTTGTAACTTCTTGAGAAAGCGCCATACCGCCTTCCACAGTGATTGCACCATTTTACACTCCCACCAACAGTGAATAAAGGTTCCAGTTTCTCCACAACCTTGCCAGCATTTGTTGCTTGCTGTTCTCTTAAATTTTGCTGTTCTGACTGGGGTGAGATGATATAGTTGTTTTAATTTGCATCTCTCTTAGAGCTAGGGATTTTGAACATTTCTTCATATGCTTGTTAGTCATCTCAATGTCTTCTTAGATGAAGTTCATATTCCTGGGCCCATTTTTCTATTGGATTATTTACCTTTATCTTGTTGTGGTACTCAAGTAGTTTATAAATTCTGGATAGAAGTCTCTTATGTGATACGTCATTACCAAATACTTTTTCCCAGTCAGTGGCTTCCCTTTTTACCCTGTTGGAGAAGTGCTTGGATGTGCTCTTCTCTAGTCTTAGAAACGGTAGTAATTGTTCTTGAGGTTACCTGTCCTGCCTTTGATTAGAGGAACTAACTTCTTCAGGAAATTGTACAAGTTACCTTGGCGCTGCCTTTATTTCAGATGAGGTAATAAACTATAGATTCCCCAGAAGATGTTGAATTTCTAAGAATTCACTGTCTGCCATTATTAGTACCTCTACTCAGTGCTATTTGAATGCTTTAGAAAAATACCTGTTGGATCCTTAAATGTTTCTCTGTGGCAGTGAAACCTTAAGTCATTGGGGTATCTTTATAGTAGTAGGTCTTGTGATTTTAGTAGTGTGGGTACATAATATTTAAGAGCCAAGGGTTACTTTCCGTACACCTTCCACGATACACGTGTATATTGTAATTGCTTACTGTGACAGCCTAGAGTGTGGATATTTGTCCTGGTTTCTGATGTGAATGCCAAGAGATCTTCCTGCTTTTTACATACCACTGAACTCCAGTACTGCTCAGTGATGTGTCTTATGTGTCATGGCGATGCATCAGGTCTCAATGTCATTTAAGAAGTGGAACAAATTTACAGAACAAAAAACCGAGTTGATTCTGATTCAGTGACCCTGTAGGATAGAATGGAACCATTCAGTAAAACTTTAGAGGTTTTGAATCTTTACTGAATCAAGCTGCCAGTCTCCTCCCTTGGTGTAACAGCAGCTGACCCCCTTAACTGCACAATTCAGAAAGGAAAAAAGTTAGTCCTTGGCCTTCTGTTGCTTTTTAGATTTCTTCAACGGTCACAAGGCAGTACTTTTTATTGTGAGCACCTCTTGACCTTCAAAATAGTGTAATGGAAACTTACTCTATTCTAATTATGTTGTTTTTGTTGTTAATGTACTGTCGATTCTGATCTAAACCATAGCTGACCTTGCCTTTGCTTTTCAGAGGCAGTAAATCTCATGGGAGGAGATTGCCTATCTTTCTCTCACAGAGCAGCTAGTCAGTTCAAACCATGTACTTTTTCCCGTTGACGTTGCAGTTTTTTCCACTAAGCCACCAGAATTCCTCAATAAATTACATGAGAAGTGATTGCCCATCTTTCTCCTGCAGAGCAGCTGGTGGATTTGAACAAGGTGTGTTTGGGTTAGCAGCACAACTCTTTACCACTAAGCAGCCAGAGCTCCCTTAATGTGTCTTGGATTTGATCTTTAGAAGGTGACCTCATTGATAATAGGTCATCTCATAATATAATCTTAGTAACATGCATTTGATTCTTAGTTTGCTTTCTTAATCATTATGTTCCTTTCATTCTCACAGGTGGCTAAAGCCCTTAGACATAGCAGGGTACTAATAGTCTTTGACACACCTATGTAAGCAAGTTGTCATTATGTGCTGTTGTCTCTGACTCATAGCAACCCTATGTACAACAGCTCTGGAGCCTGCCTTGTCCTCAGCCAGTCTCACTGACTCTGACACACTGATCCCCATTACCATAGTGTCAACCCATTTCATCTGGGATCTTCTTCACCTGTGCTGTCCCTTGACTCTTCAAGCATGATGTCCTTCTCTAAGGACTAGTTTTCCTGGCCTCATTCCCAGATTATGTGGGATGGAGCTTCAAAATCCTTGCATGCAAGGAAAAACTTGGTTTTGCCAACTCCAAGACAGATCTGTTCTCATGGCAGTACATGGTATGTTTAAAATTTTCTCCAACACCACAGCTCAAAGGCATTAATTATTCTTCTGTCATCCTTGGCTGTTGCCCAGCTCTGATGCATAGCAAGTAATTGTGAAGACCATGGTCTGAGTCAGGCACCCCTTAGTCTCTAGACTGGCATCCTTGCTCTTCGGCACCCTAGAGCGGTCCTTGGCAGCAGATTTTCTTCGTGTAATTCATCTTTTGATGTCCTGACTGCTAATGTCAAGACTGTTGATTTGATGTCCTGACTGATAATGTCAAGACTGTTGTATATGTAGCCATAAGTATAATAATATCCTTAAAATGGGGAATTTTCCCCCTAAAATTAGGATAGGGATAATGATACACTGTTTTACAAAGTATTTAAACATACTACTTTTAAGCAAACTTTGTCAACAAGATGAAAGGTTTGCAAACCCACCTTTGCCTACCCCTCCGACCTTAGGACCCAGAGTTCAACAACACAGATCAGATTGACCTGTATGATGATGTACTGACAGCCACTTCCCAGCCCTCCGATGACAGAAGCAGCAGCACTGAGCCTCCACCGCCCGTTCGCCAAGAGCCGTCTCCCAAGCCCAACAACAAGACTCCTGCAATTCTCTACACGTACAGTGGACTGCGTAACAGACGGGCTGCCGTCTATGTGGGCAGCTTCTCCTGGGTGAGCAGGACAACCAGAATGGCTACGGGTGGGCTGGATGGGACGTGCTGGGGGGTGATGGCATCTTCAGGAATCACATTGGCTGTTCTATGCTCTGATGGGGTTGGGTTTCTTTCTCCTGGGGTCAGATTGGATTGATCCCTCAAAGAGTTCTGCTGAGCACATACTGTGCTGAAGAAAACAATGATTAAGTGGGTAGTTGGTTTTTGTGCAGTGTTGTTACTGCCCCTGACCCTGGGGCTTTATGTCTAGCAGGGTCATCTGTGGGACGAGATTTCAGAGTGAACACCTTGAACTCTTGGTGGCCATTAGATGGTCCTGTGATAATGGTGGGTGACGGGGACCAAAGGCCTTGCTAGCTCTAGTGCTCTGGGTAGGTGGTGACTGTTGTTCTACAAAAGTTATAACCTGTTTTGGGGCTTGGGGTTGGGGGTGGGTTTTCCAAGTTAGGAACTATATGTTCAAGGGGAAAGTTTATGGCAGTGGGGTAATCTAGCCTAGCAGATCAATCATTAAAGCTACCAGTAATCATTGGAATTGATGACCAGCTAGCCCACATGGCAGTCAAAGTTAATAGGTTTTAATCTTAATTTCTAAATATGGGGATTAAGGAGGTGGTGGTTTGGAGTTCTTCATTAAGTCAGGACTTTAAGAAAAGCCTTTGCTAACTAAAATCTTGCTAGGCTCTTGGGTTCCTGGGGGAGACCGAGTTGTGACTAGATCTTAGGGGGGCATTTGGGGTGGGGGAGGGGTGGTAGCTCTTGACAGTTCTTCCTTTTCCATCTTGCCGGCCCCAGTGGACAACAGACCAGCAGCTGATCCAGGTTATTCGCTCTATAGGAGTCTATGATGTGGTGGAATTGAAATTTGCAGAGAATCGAGCAAATGGCCAGTCTAAAGGGTGAGGTCTGAATTTTGAGACACTCATTTCACTTTGTAACCATTTGGATAATAGATTTGCACTGTGTTTTGATGCTCATTTTATCCTTTCTGCCCTGGCCCAGTTTACTGCCTTGGTTCTGGAAAACCATCTTAGAGTAAGGATGTAACTGTAATGTACTGGAACATCCATCCATGGGGGTGGAGAGCGGGAGCTAAGAAAACTGGTTTTGAATTGTCCATTAGCAGGAAGAGAGCAAAGCAGCACCTTTGTGCTGTAGTTTAATGTATATTTTATTAGTACCAAGATATTCTGCACTTTGTTTTTATCAGTTTTCTAGTGAATCTCATTAACTTTTTCTTTTTCTTGCTCAAGATATGCTGAGGTGGTGGTCGCCTCTGAGAATTCTGTCCACAAATTGTTGGAACTTCTGCCAGGGAAAGTTCTAAATGGTGAAAAAGTGGACGTGAGGCCAGCCACCAGGCAAAATCTGTCACAGTTTGAAGCACAGGCTCGGAAACGTGAGTGCGTCCGAGTCCCAAGAGGGGGTACGTGGAGACCATCTGTATGAAAGGGGGGAGGTTTGTGGGCTGGTTTTGTCTGGTGCAGGCACAGCTTGCTGTGGGGGAAGGAGAGGGTGGTTATGGGTAACAGAATGGCTGATGGGTAGGAAAGAATGCCGCTCGTGGAGTCAAGTACATCCAGACTAGAGTTCAACTGTGCCTTTAACCTTGGACAGGTCACTTCACGGAGTAGGGCCATTTCTGAATTAGGTGGTGGCTAAGTCTCTATCAACTCTAAATTCTGTGATTTTAGTCCAAAAATCATGTAAAGTAAATGAATTTTAACTGCAGCCATTCTGTATTATAATTTAGAAATCATGTACAAAGGAAATAGGTATCTCTGTGAATTATCAAGAAGCCACCTGTCATGTAACAGTGACGTCGTTTTGTCATAAATGTGTGTTGGAAGCATGGTGTGCAGGAAACATTCCAAGAGAAGTGGAGATAAGAACTTAGTGTTTATCCAGCTTCGTTTGGAGGAAGGGACGCCTTTCCAGTTGCTGAATGTTTTGGGCTGCTTGGCAAATGTACCCCATTAATAAAGTTTCCTCATACTACCTTAGCTTGACCCCTCCAGTTTATGGTCCTCCTTCATTCTGATTGTACTCACCAAGCAACCATCTGGTACTAATTTGATTTCCCGGCTAGGCTCTCCTACTGGGAAGAGAATACGCTGGCCAGCTGACACACGTATTCCATCCAGTCTGCTTGGCAACTCCGTTTCTCATTGTAAATTAATAAATATTCTGGTTTGTGAATCAGTGTCTTGTGAGTTTGGTTAGGATAACTCAGTCTCCAAGGTCCAGTCACCTCAGGTGAAGTGATAAAACCCGAGTTTCTGAACCTATGAAAACGAAGGACTAGACCTTGAACTGTGCTGACCTCACAGAGTGCAGCCCAGTCTGACCCAATCGACCACCTTCACCTTTTTATTAATGCAGCAGGGTGATAGCCCAGCTCCACTGCCCACTCTGTCATTGAAGAGTAATGCCTGTATTGATCAGGTGTATCACCCAGGTGACAATCTGTCCAGCTGACTTGTAAAACACCAGCTGTTCTTTCGCCAGGTTGAGAATCTGGAGAGATAGAACATGAGCTCCAGGCATGTACTTTCCTTCCTTGACAGTCTGGATTTTCACAGCCCTTCCATCTCAGAGTCTGTCATTCAGTCCTCTTGACACTGTCTCCTGCTAAGGTGTCCTGTGCATTGGTCTGGGGGTAGCCTTTCTGTCTCCACTCTACTGCTTTTCCCTTGTTTCCTTTCTAAATCTGACATGGTGTTGGTTACCATGGATGTTTTTCTACTGATTTGGGCTCTGATTTGTCCTTTCTCTGCTTAAAACTAGTTACCCCTCTTGGGACTTGTAGCCATAGAGACAAAACAGAACCCTGGCAAATGGTGGCTGGTAATGGGATTAACCTTCAGAGATTCACACTTGCCTAATAAATACCTCCTCTTTGTTTGTTTGAGAGACCTGTGGGAGGTGAAGAGTAAGAGTGCTGTGACAGGTGCTGGCCATCGAGTGGCGAGACCAAGGTGGTTTTGGGGATTAATGCCACCTCTGATTAGGAGTTGGGATCGATGAGAGAGCTTGTGTTTTAGAAACACATTTCTAAAACTCTGAACCTGCTAATGCATCTTTGTACCTCCAGGCATGCAAGGCCCTGACTGGTCATCTTCCACATTAACTTGAGAGTAGACTGAAGTCAGCAAAACCATGTTTAATCACAGGACTTGGCAGAATTGGAAGCCATGCGTCCATGGAGGCACAGTTGATCCCCTGTTGTGCACACCTGTGCTAGCACGCGACCAAGTCCCCAGTAGATGCCTTGTGGGGTCGAGGGGCCGGCATTATGACGTAGGAGGCCCTGCTATCAGCTGTGTGCCCTCTGCTCCTTGTCCAGGCAGCTCTTTCCTTGCCTTAATTTCCAGTTCTCTTTCTTCCTCACTTACTCTCCAATCTTCTGCTCTTCATACTGGAGTGTCTGTCTAACCTATTCCAGTGACCAGTCTTTAGATGAGGCTGAAAGTGTTATTAATACACACATCCTCAGGCCTCGCCTCCTTGCTGTGCCCTCAAGTCCCTGAACCTGTGACCGTGCTGCACATGTGCTGCAGAATGTGGTGTCAGTCTAAAGAGAGAGGCCCTGAACTCTTATCAGGAGAGGTGGGATTTCAAGTCAAGGAATCTAAGCAAGCAGCAGAGAGCACACTTGGCATGGATTACCAGGACCCCTCAACGCTTAGCTGAATAAAAGGCTGAATTAATTGTCTTCTTTGAGTACATATTGAAAGTGTACTTGGAATTCTGGCTGGAAAGCATACTTTGACCTAGAAGATCTGAGGGCTGCTGTCTCTTGATCTGTGCTGTAACTGACTTTTTCTCCGAGGCTAGCTGTGTTCCTCAGTATGATCTCAAAGGACTCTTACTGAAGGGTGAACTGGCCCGTGACTGAAACCTGGGCAGTAATATTACTTCTGTTTTGCCCCCTAGGAATACCTCCACGGGCCCACTCCCGAGACTCCAGTGACTCTGCTGATGGAAGGGCCACACCCTCTGAGAACCTTGTACCCTCATCTGCCCGTGTGGATAAGCCCCCCAGTGTGCTGCCCTACTTCAGTCGCCCTCCTTCAGCCCTCCCCCTGATGGGTCTGCCCCCACCCCCAATCCCACCTCCACCACCTCTCTCCTCAAGTTTTGGGGTCCCTCCTCCTCCTCCTGGTATCCACTACCAGCATCTCATGCCCCCACCTCCTCGATTACCTCCTCATCTGACTGTACCTCCCCCTGGGGCCATCCCACCTGCCCTTCACCTCAATCCAGCCTTCTTTCCCCCACCAAATGCCTCTGTGGGGCCTCCACCAGAAACTTACATGAAAACCTCTACACCGTACAACCACCATGGCAGGTAAGAACTCTGTCCCTCCTTTCACACAGGAGTTAAGCATATATAGTGCACTAGTTCTTGTTTTGTAACGATCTCTGAGGCAGAACTGACCCATCGCTGACCCTCTGGCAGGTTTTCAGAAACAGTGAATTACACATGAGGAGACTGTCCTATCTTTCTCCTCCAGAGTAGCTGGTAGATTCGAACCATATGCCTTCAGTTTAACAGTGCAGCTCCTTGCCGCTGAGCTCCCTAGTGAAGTGGACTGTGTTAATAAGAATTTTCACCCCAAGGGAGTAAGCACTAAATTCTTGTTTCTTACTCTTGTGAGATACCTACTGAGTGTTGAATCTTGGGAAGTAGTTAACCATCTATGTGTTAATGCTTTTGTTTGATGTTTCTTTGCATCTTATTCAGTAGGCTTCTGCAATCTCTTTTTAACAAGTTTGATGAAATCGAGGTCATTAAGTGAGTAGAATTTCTAAAGTGTATGACATACAACCTGTCAAAAATATGTGACATAAAGTCTGTCCTTAAAGAGCAGAGGAACTGTTTGAGAACCATTTAACACATAAAATAAAGCACAGTTAACACGTTTTGTAACTGAAAAACCAAACCCAATGCTATTAAGTAGATTCCAACTCTTGGATACCCTATGTGATACAGGTAGACCTACTTCATCAAATTTATTTTTGGGAGCTCTTCCCAGGCCTTTCGGGGTGAGTTTGAACCAGCAAGGTTAGAAGCTGATTGCAGACCGCCTGCTCCCTCCAGGGGTCTTAACAGTGCTGTAGAATGTGGCATCGATAACAAGGGGTCTGGGCAATCAGGAATGTTAATATCTCTGCAGCCGAGATTCGGGCGCTCCTCCCACTACAGTGAGTGAAGCAGAATTTGAGGAGATCATGAAGCGAAACAGAGCAATTTCCAGCAGTGCCATTTCTAAAGCGGTAGCGGGAGCCAGTGCAGGTAATTCCCATTGACCCATGCTACCTTCCCTTTGCCTTCATTCCCTCCATAATTTTATTGTTGACATTGACAGGAGCACCGTTAGGATTCTCCAGAGTGTTCTGTTTTAGAAAACAGTATGACCTGATTTCTTGGGTTTTTTGGAAAGCTTTAATGTTTAATAATAGTACTTATTTTCTCCATCCAAACCAACTTAGTGACTAGAAGATAATGATTAGATACCATTTGATTGCAGTATTTAGGCAGAGTGATAGTCCTTCTTCGTATAGATCTTAACCTTAGTCTCCGTGTGGTGGGTCCAATGTTGCGTGTAGACCACTGATTTTTTTAGAATGTCATTTTCACTAGACAGGAGTCTGAATTACTTCTGGGAGTCTAGATGCAACTGAGGTCTACCTCCATGTAGTCTTTTCTAGAAAGGCAAGTCTTTTGGACATCATATAACTTTTGCCCAACTCTCAGCTTTAAGTGAGCAGAACCAGAAATCATGATTCTGAAAGCTGCGAAATAATTGGTTCTGAAGAAAAGAGGATTTGAGAGGTTTCTGGGTCTGAGTTTCTCTGCAATGTTTGTATGTGTTGTCAAGTTGGAATGGAGCAGAGCTGACCCTGCTGTGGTTTTCAGAGCCTATGAACGAGGTCCGTCTTTAGAGAAAGCTGTTTGGGGATGGGTGCCTTGGGGTTGCCAGCACATCTTCTTCCCTCTGGGCCACAAGAGAGCCCCGTACTTCTCTGGTCTTATGTACTTAATGGGTCCCCAGCTCCGTGAATCCATTCCACCTGACAGCACATGCAACAACACATACCCTATGCGATCTTTGAAAGCATGGTTTTACCCAGAACTTAGTCTTTTTTTTTTCTGTAAGTTCTCATGAAGTAGGTTAAAGACAGAGTCAGTGTTCTCTTTTTCTTCCTATCAGAATATCTTCACTGACTTTAGTGAATCATCTTAAAATGAAAAAAGCAATACATGCTTACGACCACATATCCCCTCCTCAGAGAGTAAGAAAGCAGTCCCTGTGTCCTCTGACTGCCAGTGCCTCCCTTCTGACACGAGCGAGAACAGAATCTTTACCTCATTCCCTTTTTATGACTCCGACTACAAGAATTTCTTGAGTGCCTGCAGCACAAGAGCATGCCATCCTCTAACGGGGCTGATGTCCTGGTGTTTCTGGACCTTCACAGTTCACAGAGTTCCTATCACTTCCTTACACAGTGGAAGCTGGCAAACGACATCTCCGCTAGACTCCTGCCCCAAATATTGTGTCCTGTGTTGGCTTCTGTCCTTAATGCTTTTGACTTAGGAATAACGTTGTGCAGGTACTCACGGCGTAACCTCATCCTTGGGGCACGCAATGGCAAGTTAAGGAGCTAATTGTTGATGGCAGCATTATTTTTGTAAAACTATATGTCTACTGTTACATAAGTATGTATGCATATGAACATATGTGCCATCAAGTTGCCTGTCACTCATAGTGACCCTATTTACAACAGCTCTGAAGTCTGCCCTATTCTGAGCCAGTCTCACTGACTCTGATACACCTGCCCCCATTGTACGAGTTACTGTATCGATCCATTTCATCCAAGGTCTTCCTCTCCTGCATTTTCTCTCCGCTCTTCAGAGCATGATGTCCTTCTCCA